AGGCACGCGCTACCACGCCCGGCTAATTTTTGATTTATTGTAGAGACGAGGTCTCGCCAAATTGCCCAGGCAGGTCTCGAACCCGTGGGATCAGGCCATCCACTCACCTCGGCCTCCCAAGTGCTGGGATTACAGGCTGAGCCACGGAGCCTGGCCTCTACCCGGCCTTTTCAAGATCCCTTCCAAAGTGAAACGATTCTGTGATCAGCTGTGTTTAGTTCTGCATCAGTTCCCAAGCCAGGTTATGTTCCATCATTTGGAGAGACAGCACGCATATCTGTACAGCAAAGGCTGATGGAGCAGCCGGTGCTTCCTGTGTTCCTGCAATGGCGGGACCTCTATTCACCATGCTTTCTCTTCTTCTAGTTGTAAGGAAAACTCAGATTGTGTGAAGCTGTGCCTACCCCTCATTGAGAATATTAAAGGCGCTCAGGACGCAGGTGAGGAGACGTGACCTGGTGCCCACGCTCACCTGCCCTCTCCCTAATCCACCACCGTCCGCCCCTGCCGCCTCCCTCTGCCCTCTCTGCTGACCACGGTCTGCTTCGCCTCCAGGCACCACAGTGCTGTTGCCCCTGGTGATCTTCCTGGGTCTTTGCCTTTTGTCCCTTCTCTTCGTCGTTCTAATATGCCGCTATCAGCGGTGGAAGCCCAAGCTCTACTCCATCGGTGAGTGGGCCTTGGGGAGGCGGGGGTGGGGGGCAGCTGGCAGGGCTGCGGGAGGAGGTGTGTGTGGCGAGATGGGCCGGGGTTGGGGGAGGAGGGGAGTGTCCCCTTAACTGGCGACTGAGGACTCTGGGCAGGAGGTGGCCCTGGAGGGCTGGTGAGAGACTGTGCTGCATCGGCAGTCCTGGCAGCCCTGGGGCCGCAGAGGCCCCGGGGCATGTCCCCGCGGGTCCCCACTGCCGCCCCAGTTCGAGGCTTCAGGGCTCAGAGGGGAAGTGAGATTGATGATATGCTTCTCTTTTCTCAGTGTGTGGGAGATCGGCACCTGAAAAAGAGGTGAGATGAAGCCGGGAGCCTGTCCCAAGCCTGCCTGACCCTGCCTTAAGACCCGTAATAGCTGGGTCACCTCGAGTCCCCCTCGCTTCAGGGGCTCCCCCAAGTCCCGACCCGCAGCCAGAGCGAAGCGGGCGGGGGCTGC